ATACAAAACTAGTTAATATCCAACAGAGCCATAAACTGTAACCTCTCTGGTTATCTATTCCACCAAACAAAAATCTACAAGTTAACCTCTGCCCCTGCACAGCTGTAAACTGGCCCAGACAATAAAAAGCCAAGCCCAGCAGCACACTGAAAGCGTTCCCAGTAATCTCTTTTTGCCTATTTCCAAGTTTCAGATAATTTTCTGATGCCCTGGTGTGGCAAGGTTTTCTTACCATCGCACTCTCTTACTGCCCAGACTGCTTCTTACACTGATCCTTTCTTCCTTCTTTTCTTCTCCCTTTTCTCTCTCCAATGTATATATTTCCTTCTAATTGAAATTCTACTTAAGTTTTGTCTTGGGTGAAAGTAAATTGTGGCATTTAATCTGTGACTTCCTTTCTAGTCCCATTGATAACTCTCCTCTTTTCTTTCATCCATCCAACCATCCATCCAACCATCCATCCATTTTTCTATCCCATTTTTATACATTTGTTCTCACATTAATTCAGCAAGCATCTGCTGAACTCCCATTACAGGTAAGGCATGTGTTAGGAGCTGTGGAGGATAAGTCCTTAAGATATCATACCCATGTCTTCTCTGAACTCAAGTTTAAAAACTAGTTGGTGAGACTAGTCATCCAAGAAAATTATATTACAAGAGTTATTTCATTTGCCAAGACTAAAACACCAATATATCAATCAAAGATTTTTTCAAATGTCTACCTGGTCATCCAAGACTCTAGCACCCTCCTATACTAATTGTTATCGATAGAAACAGTTATCACTCTGAAAGTAGTATTCTAATTAAGACAGTTTGATTTGGAAATCTTTAATTTTGTCCATTGAGCTATACGTCAATTCAATTCAATAAAAAGTTAGAGAGTCTGTTATGCCCTAGGAACGAGATGGGCACTGGGCATACATCTTCACAGAATTTTGCTAAAAGGCAAATCCTCCCCTGGGAGACATATCTTTTTGAACTGCTAATCAACAAGTCAAAGAGACTTATGCACCCCTATGTTCATTGCAGCATCATTCACAATAGACAAGTTGTTGAGGCAACCCAAGTGCCCATTGACTGAAGAATGGATAAAGAAGATGTGGCATATATACAATGGCATATTACTCAGCCACAAAAAAAGACAAAATCGTGCCATTTGTAACAACATGGATGGAACTTGAGGGTATTATGTTAAGTGAGGTAAGCCAGACAGAGAAAAACAAATACTATATGGTTTCACTCCTATGTGGAAGATAAACAAATACATGGACAAAGAGAACAGATTAGTGGTTACCAAAGGGGAAGGGGGTTGAGGCGTGGGCATCAGGGGTAAAGGGGCACATATATATATGGTGACCGACAAATAATAATGTACAACTGAAATTTCACATTATAAACTATTATGACATCAATTAAATAAAAAGGGACTCCTCATGAAAAAACAAAATGAAGAAAATGGATGACAGAATTCAATCATTCTTAAGAATGTGTGGGAAGTTTGAGGGAGTTAGTTGTAGGTTGTTTTTTGGAGAGAAGAAGATTGGTTGGTTATTTGTTTATTGGTTGGCTGGGTGGCTAAGGAGAGAGAGAAAGGAATAGAAGGGAGAGATGACATTACAAAAATTCTGCCATACCTTGCCATAGCTGTCTGGGCCCTGGTTGGGGAGTAGGAATATAGCAGGTGGAGGAAATGAGTTCTAGAAATACAGAGGGTCTCATTATTTTAATATAAATGGGCACTAGCCTAAACATGCCACAGAGGTTGCAACTTAGGAGCCATCCTTGAAAAGCGAGGTAGCTTAACCCTGGCTGAGGGCAAAAATCTAGGAAGTCATATTTCCTTGTCTACCCAATTACCATATGGCTGCTTTCAGCACTGGGTTATTTGGTTTGACACAGTTTAGTGATCTGAACAGTTCTCGTTAATGCAGAAATCACCTGTATATGTTAATCATTAAGAGTTTCCATTATCGTCCCTCTGTTAAAATGTTCATAATTTTGCTCCTAGGGGAGAGAGTGTAGGGGACCGAGCGGAGGAAAGGTGGGGACTAAGGTCAGGTTAGCTTGGGAAGGTGAGCTTTAGCAATCTTTGCCAGTTTGTTGGCATCGCCCAGAATTAATCCTAGTCTCAGGGCGAAGCCCAGGCACCATATCTTTTATTCATATGTCTCAAAAATAAGATTGAATGTAGAAAGCTTTAGACAGGATAATGCTGTGCTCAAGAGTAGGTAATGCTTAATACATGCTTTTGGGAAATGTAAATAAATTGCAATATTCACTTTCTTTGTCTCCTTCATTTGAATGTACTTGTGGTCAAGAATTTTAGTTAGGTAAATTTAAATACCCAGTAAACGTTAGAGCATGATTTAGTAGAAAACATTTTATTACCTTAATTTGAAAAGCACATTGCATAGAATACAAACACAGAGAAAGAAATCTATAATACTGTAAACATGTATATCATATATACATATCTAATAATGTAAACATAAACACTCCTTATAAGAGTTCTGGGGGGCTGGCCTCGTGGCCGAGTGGTTAAGTTCGTGCGCTGCGCTGCAGGCGGCCCAGTTTTTCGTTGGTTCGAATCCTGGGCAGGGACATGGCACTGCTCATCAAACCATGCCGAGGCAGCGTCCCACATGCCGCAACTAGAAGGACCCACAGCAAAGAATATACAACTATGTACAGGGGGGCTTTGGGGAGAAAAAGGAAAAAAAAAAAATCTTAAAAAAAATAAAAGAGTTCTGGGGTGGTGTGTGAAGGACTGGGCCAGGGTGAGCAGCCCAGTCTTCTACGCCCATCTCTTCCCTAACCCACCAGGGGACTTTGGGTAAGTCCCCAACCTGCTCTGGGCATCACTTTCCTCACCATGATTTGAAGGGTTTGGACAAGATCATCTCAAGAGTTTTTTCTAGCTTGGTGATTTTAGGTTTCGTTAGATATAATGCTTCTACGTTTTGGGTGACTTTAATTCTGTTCCGTCATTCTGAAGCAGCCTTCTGGCTTCCTTCCCTGCCTTATTGCCCTCTCTCTTTCCTCTTTTGTTTTTGTTTTTTCACTCTTTTGTCTCCTCTCAAAGCTCAGGTGAGAGTGGTGATCCTCATTGATAGAGGAAAGACTGAAATTGCCCACCCCCCCAACACTTACGAACTTTTATAAAAGAAAATCTTAGACTTTATACCCTTAATTTTAGCTTCAGAGATAAATGTGTGACAATATATTTGTCTGAAAACAACTCTTCAGAAGGAGTCACACTGGCAAAATGGCCGGGCTTGTCAGATCGTAAGATGGCCACCCATGCACACTGATTGGGCACAGTGCCATCCTGAAGACATACTAGAATTATCTGTCTATTTCCTAGGGAGTTTGCAAAATTCTCACATGATTAATTTGGACTTGAGCACAATGAACCATCTAAATCTCTTTATGGTAGGACACTGGGTGTGCCTGAAGTGTTTACTGACTTGAGGGGATGTTTTGACCCTGAAAGGTGTGGAGAAGGGTGAGGCCCCTCCTCTTTTGTGGCAGCTGGAGCACCACCCACTGGCATTCAGGTATCTCTGGAGTTTTCCTACTCAAGCCACTGCTGTGACATCGTCCTCCTAAAGTTGCAACAGTGACAGGATCATACCTCAGAGTGTAGCAGCTGGAGGCCCTACAAGTGCTGGTAAAATAGTATCAGAATGGAGGTGAAAGGTTTAATTTTAGGCTTTTGAGAACTAGGCTTTTTTTTTTCCAAACTCTGAGATCAAATTGTTTCTTATCTTTTTTTTGTTTATTGCTGCCAATAAAACCCTACTGTCATTCGTCAGGATGTAGTGATATATTTGCAGTATAGATTACTGAAACCGGTTTAACATAAGTCTGTCTTTATACTTGCTTCCTATTGTAAGAAATCTTCAATCCACAGGTCACATGCAAAGATTTTAAATTTAGTTCAGATTTGACAGGTCATGCTGATTTCCAACTGGAAACTTGGACTTTTTAAAAATGACCCTCTCATCAGGAAGAATTTACTAATGAGTGTACTGTTTTATAGCCAAGCACAATATATAAAGACTCAACCCTACTATTATAATTCAAAGTAGAGATAAGAAAACTTTTTTTCTATCAAAAGTCAGAGGAGGGAAACAATCTATTAAAGGTCACACAAATTAAAATAATAAAGTTAAAGGGATTTTTAACAAATAGCTATCTGTTAAGGTTTTTACCATAGAAGGAGGAAGAGGAAATTCTATTCTGGAAGCATAATATTTAATAAATATTTTTCTATTCTGTAATAAGGTCACTTAAGGAGTGAGGACTGAAACAAAAGGAGAAAGAAAGATGGGAAGAAAGGAAAGTGGAAGGAGAAAGTGTGGAGCTAGGAGATAAAGGTAGAGAAGAAAAGGAGAGAGAAATGAGCAGGTCCAGAATGTAGGGAGGGGGCTTCCCATGGGCCAGTCTCAAGACCCCTCCCAGTGCTGAGCAACCATTAACGTGTTGTTGAGAAAGATTACTCCTTCTCCATCTCTTGTTTAAGTTCTCACTTTTCATATCCCCTTATCTCAGCCTTACCCTGCCCACCAGTAACTGTCCTGGGCAGAGTTCCCTCTCCAACCCTTCCGCCCACTACCCTGGTCTCACCGCTCCCCATAGCTGTTGGGCAGCCCCAAGTGTTCCCAGCAGCCTGGACACCTGCCTCTACCACCACTTACTTTCCCACTCAAAACACTGTACTCAGAACCTGACCCTGGAAATCCTTCTGGATGCTGCTTCTCTGTCTCAGAAAAGAGAGCTGGGAATTCCTCCCTCGCTTCTAATTTAAGGCAATAAAACCCTGGATGACTAGAGTCTTTCCCGGAGCCTTCATTTTCCCTTCTCTCTCCTTCCCTCTTTGATTCCTTTTCTGCTTCTCTTCCTCCCTCCTCTTAGCTTGAAATGGGTAAAAAAATTAAAAAGTACAATAATTCTTCCAAATGATGATCATCTTTTTCACTCTTCTTCTCTCCAATGAAGTCACTACTAAGTACCTGAATATGGAAGAAGTGAGAAAGAAAGAGGAAAAGGAGAAGAGGGGAAAATAAGATGCTGTCAGATACGGGCAGGAGAAATCCTTTAGAGTGCTTTGTGACCACCCAGAAGTAGAAGAATAAAACTAACGCTATTAAAAAGCAATGGAATCCCTGCCTACTGCTGTTTCTCTGCCTCACAAACTTCTTTTTTCCCCTTTAAATGCAACAATATATTAACACTCTGTCAGTTGAAGAGTGCTTTATAAATGGTAGATGCTGTTTCTTGCTTAAACAACTGCTCTGAGTGCCTGATAGAGCTATAGGCACACCTGTTTAAAGCTCTGCAAGTCCCACTCACCCCCCGGATTCGGATCTTCAAAGCAACAACTGCAGACCCACCTGTGGCAGGCAGACTTCTAAGACGGCCCCCTGAGATCCCTGCTTCCTAGAGTTCATGCCCTGTGTAATCTCCCCCTTTCCCTTGAGTAGGGGTTGGACCTCGTGACTCACTTCTAATGAGTAGAATATGATAAATGTGATGGCATGTCACTGTCAAGATTAGGTTACAGAAGACTGTGATTTCCATCTTGCTGGCACTCTCCTGCTTTCTCTCTCACTTGTTCACTCTGACGAAGCCAGTTGCCATGTTGTCAGCTGCCTTACAGAGAAGTCAATGTGGCAAGGAACTGCGGCCTCTGGCCAACAGCCAGCAAGGAACTGAAGCTCTCTGCCCAACATCCTGCAAGGAACTAAATCCTGCCAACAACCACTGAGTAAGTTTGGAAGCAGGTCATGTCCCAGTCAAGTCTTGAGATGACTGAGGCCCCAGCCAATAGTATGACTGCAACCTCATGAGAGCACTTGAGCTGGAGACCTAGGTAAGCCAGGCCTGGACTCCTGACCAAGAGAAATTGTAAGATAACTGTGTACTATTTACAGCTGCTAAGTTTTGGGATAATTTGTTACACAGCAGTAAATACCTAATACACTACCTTTTAAGTTAACTCTTCCATAAACAGGGTCATTTTGGCATCTCAATATGCTAAGGTGGAGTTCTTGATTTGCTTACCTTAAGCCACATTTTGCAACTAGAAAATAATATTTTTGTAACATTATTTTGAACTACCTGGGAAAGGAAAGCTGTGTTTCCCACAAACACTAGAAACATACTCATTTCTTCTCTACCCATCTTTCCTAGACCAGCTAGGTCCTATCTTCTCCAAAGATTCCCAAACTCCTAGAGCACCCTATTCTGACTTACATGAATTAGCTATTGGTTGGTTATGTTCCTAGATTTTCTCTATATTACCATACATGTATCAGTCTGGACAGTACTATCTTAGGATGTAGTGGCTGTGACTTCATTTAGATCCCTGGGCCAAGTAGGTAACCATGAGTTACTTGATTATTAACCTTGGAAAGAATTAAATAACTTATACGGACTCACTGTTGAGTTCAAGCCCATCTGTCTACTTTTGTTTGGTTATTACTGCCTGGTCAGTTGATGACAAGTAGCAAAACAAGCCAAAACATCCTGTCACTGGAAGTCTCATGAAACTAATGCTCATTTCTGACATCAAGATTATCACAAGAAGTTTTTGTTATGAATTTAGACCTATATGAAATGTAACACAAATTGTTTTCTGGACAATAGCAACTAGTAGTTAACATTTATGTTCTTTCTATTTGTCAAACATTGTTTTAAGTGTTTTTCTTATAAAAACACAGGTTTCTGAGATTCAGATTAAAAATCTAAGGAATAGTTAAAGAGTAAAGTTTAAATAATTTTTAAACTTAAAGAGCTGAAATATATGAATCAAAGTCACCTTAGGGATTGAGTTACACCTAGCAATTTTTACAAAGTGACTTACAAATATGATATATTAAGCTTTCTTTGGTGTCACCTTTTAGCCTTGGAGGGAGCTAAGTTGTGCATGTGAGGGATGGTTGGGGTGATGGTGGTGGTGGTAATGGTGATGGTTATGGTAGGAGTAGTGATGGTGGTGGTGGTTGTGGTGTGGCTATTTGATTCTCTCCAAGGTTAATAGTCAAGTAACTCATGACTACTTACCACGTGGCCAGAGACCCAAATGAAGTCACTGTTACTACACTGTAAGATAGTACACTCTAGCCTTACGGATATGCAGTTAGAGAGAAAACATATGAATATAAACAGCCAACACCTGCATTGTGTGGATCATATTAGGGTGCTCTAGAAGTGTGAGAAGTGTTTGAGGAAAAAAAGGACTGACTGAGCTGTTCTGGGAAGGATGGGTAGAGAATAAGTAATGAGTATGTTTCAGTGCTGAGAAACACAGCTCTCTTTTCCCAGGTAGCTCAAAAGAATATTCCCTTGATACTTGAAGGAGGTAGGACAAGATAAGGTGAAAACCAATTCTTCTTTCATCAGGAGGAGCGCAGCCCCTTGGCCTGAAGACGTCTCTGGTTCCAGTGAGTGGCTATTTAGGGAGGAGGGAAACACTGCAGTGAGGTGGAGGAGCTGCATTATCTTTTCCTTCATCTCTGAAGCCAGGCTGTGCCAGAGGTAGGGAGGATTGGGCTTGGGAAGGACACGAACGTGGCCTTGTGCCTCTGGCTGCATAAATGTTGCTAAGGAAAGCCATGTGACCATACTCAGCTTGACCTCAAGTAGTTCTTGGAGAAGCAGGAACATTTCTCCCTCGTGTCATCTAGGTTAGTGGGGGACAGATGTTACCATGTCCACTTGTTGGTTCACAACCTTCGGAGTTCCCCAGGTGAAATCTGAAACTGGCCCCCCCGCCCCACCTTCCCCATACAGGGAGGGCAAAGAGAGATGGAAGGAAAAGGCAGACCACTCCAGATTGGTCAGTGGCAGTTTTAATAAGGTAGGGAACTTACATATGAGCCTTGTCTTGGGTGGCTGCAAGATGAGTAGATCTCTGCACCCACCTGCCAGAATCTTAAAAGTCTATATAGAGGCCTTACCGGGGTTCAGTCATGTATATGATCCAGATCGTCTCAAGAACACTTTGCTCTCTCAAGTCTGCGCCCTTGAAACAGCTGCCAGCAGGGGAATGGTCGGTGAGACGTACATTCCAAGGACATGGGAGGGAGTAAGGAACCTCCTATTGCCTGGTTCTGATTCTTGGCTCAACATCCTCTCGGTGACCTCCCTTGAAACCACGTTCTTAGTTAGAATAGCAACTAGGTGCTGTAACAATTGAACCCTCAAATTTCAGTGACTCACAACCAGAAGGACCTACAACTAGAATATACAACTATGTACTGGGGGGCTTTGGGGAGAAGAAGAAGTGGGGGAAGAAAAGATTGGCAACAGATGTTAGCTCAGGTGCCAATCGTTAAAAAAAAAATTTTCAGTGCAACACAATGAAAGTTTCTCACTCACCTAAAAATTCAATGTGAATGTTTCTGGTAGGCAGTCAGCATTCCTCCACATGGCAATTCGAGGACCCAGAGCCCTTGCGTCTTGAACTGCCAGTCCTAGGACTGTGGAGATCTCTGCCTCCAGCTGGAAGAAGAGAAAAGAGAGAGAGAGGAAGCACTTGCTTCTTAATTTCCTTGGCCCGGAAGTGACACACATCACTTCTGTTCATTCTACAACAACTAGATACATGACCTCACCTGGGTGCAGAGGAGGTGGGGAAATGCAGTCCCTGGTGTGTGTGTGTGTGTGTGTGTGTGTGTGTGTGAGCCCCTTTCTAGAAACAACTCTGGACTATCGATAGGGGAGCAAGAATCTTGGTTGGACAGGTGGCTGTCTTTGCCACACCCACATTACAAGTAAGGAACTGACCTGCAGAAATGTTGAAAGTTCAAGATGATATGACTTGTTAATGGCAAAGTTGGAGCTGGAACTCAGCCACTTTTTCCCTCAGATAACACTGGATGGAACCTTCTCAGTTTAAAAAGAGTCATAAAAGAGAGATCAAAGAGCTTTTGTGGCCATGGATAGATATAAGAAGCAAGAGGAATCCCCTCCCTGGGCTCCTGATTTCTAAGGTCTTTCTCCTTAGGCTTTGCAAGTAAGTTTTTATATATTTAAATGTGCTTCCTGCTGATTGCCTGTGTGGAGGATGTTTTCCTGAAAGCACTGGATTTCAAATTTTAGTGAACTTCATCAGAATTACCTGGCATGTCTGCAAAATATCCAGATCCCCAGGCTCCATCCCAATGAGTCTGACTTAAACAGCTTTGGAGTGGGGCCCAGGAATCTCTGCTTATAATCAGCTCCCTGGTGATTCTGAGGCAGGTGGTCCCTGGACCTGGACCACATGTGGAGAGACATTGCCTTGATCCATGTATGTTTTGTGTGGTTTTCCTAAGAGCAGTTGTTGCAGATGCTAATTGTCACCTGCTCATATTTTCTCAGACTTACTACTTGATTACACACTGCCTGCCTACTAACTGCCAGCACCTGCATTTCTTTGCTGGAAGATTTTACCTGACCTCTGGAGGCTGCCTGCCACCCATGGGGTAGGTGGGAATTGCTGGAAAATTAACACCATCTGGGGTCAGTTTACCAACAACTGACAGGAGTGGGTGTATAGATACCTCAGCTCCCTCACTCCTCAGTTGGGACAACACAGTAGTGTGTGTTCTACCCTGGCTTCCAGAGTTCTTCACTGATATGAAGCTCCAGGTGCAGACAGTGGCAGCTGGCTTGATAATGCACCCTTTATTGGCTCACTTCCCCACCTGACTACTGGGGATTCTTCCACCCTTAAATAAACTACCTGCCCTTGAATCCTTGATTAAGGTTGTGCTTCTAGGGGCACCCAAACAAAGCCAGTAGGGATGCATGTATGCTGTGCCACATTTACCCTCGGGAAGTCCCTCCCATGACTCCTGTATGCAGGTGTGAGCTGACTGTGGGGATGAGCAGCACATTGCTATCATGAGCCTCACTGGCCTTGTCTGTCAGTCTCACATGTCTGATCTTGCTTCCAGTAGCTAGTGCTTTAATAAACTGAGCAAAACCCACGCAGTACACTTACCACGACTTGCAGATGGTCTAGCAGGAAAAATATTGTCTTAGTTTCCAAAAGAAACAAATCCCATTCCCACTTTCCCCTGTTAGCTTTGCTCCATGCGGGAGCTGCATGCTGTCAATGTTCCTTCTGGGTGAGTAGCCTGCAAAGGTTCTGAGTCTTAATGATTACCCCAAAGCAGGAATTGTGGCATAAATCTCCACATGTGGAATACATATCACAGCTTGAGTTAAATGGACCCCAAACATATGGCATTGTTGTTTGC